ATGGGAGATAAGAGTGTTACTGACTTTTCTTCTTGGGCTGGCTTTGAACCTCAATTCTCAAATCTCAGGCTCCTGAGTAGGTCGTATTACAGGCATGAGCCACCAGTGCTGGGCTTAAATTATACTTTTGATACTACTAAAAAGGCATTTCTTAAGCTTTGTTGATCTGGATCTGTTTCTTTCTGTTGCAGGTTGTAGGTGGCCTAGATATCCACAAAAAGATGGTGGTAGATGTGTGACTCTTTGAAAAGTACCACCCAACACTTTTGCTTTCTTCTCCATCTCTGAAGATCTGCTCAAGACGTCCAGCAATGCTCTCTGTGTATTTAAATGGAAGTATTTTTCTCTGTGAAGCCACATTTTCCAACATGAGCCTCATGAAGCCAACTAAGTGTTATTGAACTCTTGCTCTCTCAATAACTCAGTGTAGCACTTTAAAGTCTGAAGGGACAGCAACAAGAAAAGAGCATATCAATGTGGTGGAGAAAGGGAAGGGGTTGGCTTTTTAATTTATTTTTCTTCATCTTTTATAACAAGAAAGTATCTATATATACATATGTAAATATTTATATATAGATATATGTAGCTTTCTATATATGTAGTAGGTTGGCTTTAATTTAATATACTTGATTCAGAAACAAAACAATAGAGTACAAAAGTGCCAAGCAGAACATACAACATCCTTACTTTTATTTCACACAGTTTTATATGTAGATAGAAGATTGTACAATTTGAGCAGGGTGTTAGGCCAGCTATTTTCCTGTGCTTTCTCCTTTGAGAGATTGACAAAGCATTTGTTAATGTCCTATTATTTACCTTAATTACATTTTTTTAGACAGAGGGGTCTGTAATTTTATTTATACTGATGAATATATTTCCAGGGACTACAAATCATTGCTGAGCAGCTTTTAATCCATCTCTGCCTGAGAAGAAAGTGTAGTTGAATGCTGCTGCCAAGAGCTGGCTGTATTCCTATAGTACCTGCACAGTGCTATGGCTGCTTCGTTTTGTTACTCTGTAACTAGGAGCCATTAACATTTATTAAATGTCCCTGAGTAAGTGTAATTTACCAGTCCTGATTTTATGCATAAAGGCCAGAAGCAATCATGATTTCTCTTATTGCATTACTTAATTAAGGAAACCTGAAGCAATCATGTAACTACTTAGGACATTGTTTGTTTCATTATACATAGGTAAATAATTTGTCATTAAACTCGTGTTTGAACCATGAATTTCCCTTGTGTCTCAAAAGACTTGGAGCTTACATAAAAAACTTGGGCTATTTAATGTGCATGTATGTGTCTAAACATCCACATACACTTGTGACTTAAATGAGAGAAATCTTGCTAATCTACATTGTAGAAGAGCAAAATTTTATCTAAATTTATACTTTTTTTTAAATACAAGGCATAGAATGCATTTTTTTGTTTGCCCAATAATTGGTAATGGATGATAATGCAATAAATTTGTGTGATATAAAAGTAGTAAATCATGTTCCACCACTTGCTGTTACCCTTCCCTTTTCTGCAAAGGTACTATATTGGCTGGAAGAAAAACACTTTGGTTAGCGTTATATGACAGTAATCTTCCCCTCTATAGTTTTCTGAACAAGTGGTTTTAGAACCGTGAGTAGTAGGGCAGGTGGAGTCCAGGGGACTGAGTCTTGAGTGGGGCACCCTCTCCTGCCACTGCTGCTCCTTCAGCTGAGTGCTGCACATCATGGGCTCTGTCTGTGAGAGAAATCCCGGTGCTTGGTGTCCTTGCATGACATGGAGTTTTGCATGTAGATCGATTTAAAATGTACCTCTTGTTTACATAATTTGCATAATTTTAAAAGATAATGTTGCCAAACTTTGGAAATGTTAATGTTCAAACTGAATCTCCACTACATGTAACTTTCTTCCTCTGGATCAGGACGTGGCTTACATCCCAGCTGTGGTTTGATCTGTTCCAGTGTCAACTGCCATGTGCTCTGCTTCAAGGGGGAACTAGTCTTTTGTGAATTTTTTGTATATAATTATTTGTTACAAATATTTTAGCAAATGCTTTCTATTTCTCTTGCTTGTGCATATCCTGGCTGGCGTTTCAGAAAAATAGTGCAAACAATATTTCCTTACTGGGGAATGAGGGTTTTTCCTTTTTTCTTTTTTTTGTGTGGGGGTGGAGAGGGAGGGGGTGGTTTATGTTGAATGTTTAGTTTTTCTTCTGCATGATACGTCATGTTGTGGGATCCTTAGAAAACTTCATACTGTATGAATAAGAAAATAAAATATTTGAAACTTCCTTGAATATATTTAGTTGTCTTTGGACTTCACAGCTGTAAGGTAGCTAATCCTCCTGTGTTTTCAAAACTGATAAAATGTTTGATTCTTTCATTGTAAGCCACAGGTTAAAATTATGTGCTTTATAATGGGAAGAGTAGTCATTACAAAGCCTTAATAAAAGAAAGACAAGCTCCCAAAAGACTCAGTCAAACGACTATTTCCCTGATCTCATCTCTTACCACCCTTTCTCTCTAGAATTGTCTTAGCCTGCTTCCACCTTAGGCCTTTGCACTACCACCCTGTCCTCCCTGCTGCTTCCCAGCGCCCAGTGGCTAATGAATGTCTTAAAAAAATTTAAAGTATGTGTGTGTAGTACTGGTGCTTGAACTTGGCCTCAAGCTCTTGCTTGGCTTTTTGGTTCAGGGCTGGCACTCTTAACACTTGAACTATGCCTCCAGTTCTGGCTTTTGCTGGCTAGAGAAGTGTCGTATTACCGGTTTTTGTCTGGTTGTCTTTGATCCAAGATTTTCATACCTCAACTTCCTGAGTAGCAAGGATATACAGACATGAAGCACTGGTGCCCAGCTGTGCCTTTTTTGTTTGTTTTAGGTCCAAGACAGGGACTTGAACTTGGTACTTGCTGCTTTTGCTTACAGGCTAGTGCTCTACCAACTGAGCCTCACTCCAACCCTGACTGGCAACTTTTGAGATGGCTTTTTCCTGCCCAGGTTTGCACCTGGACTTCAGTCCACTCACTTCAGGCTGCTTCCCCTACCTAGTGTAACAGGCATGTGCAACTATTCTGGCTGGCCTAGAAGTACAGCGAGGAACACTCTTCTCACGTAGCTAAGGATGACAAATGTGCCAGTGGGCAGCTGTGCCTGAGTTTTAAAATTAACATTATTAATTGTTCAAGGAAGGCTTCATTGATAATTCTCCCCACCTTCTACTGATACCTGCCCAAGAGCCTGATTTACTTTCCTGTCATTGATGTTTCCATTACTTCAGTGAATGTACACAGGTTTTACCATGTTTCAGATGTGCATATATATTGTAGGCAGACTGACCTACTGTTCTGTTTGCTTCTATCATGCTTTCAGCTTTCAATGAGATTCCTAATGCCTGCTAAATGGACAGCATACATTCCAGTTATATGTCCTCCCTCATTCGGTTTCCTGTCTCTTGTCCCACATAAGTCCTACAATGAAGCATTGTAATACACACATATATGAATGTATGTATATCTTATGTGTATCTTTTAGGTCTAGATTCCAGATGAAGGAAAACAACAATTTGGCTTTGAGCTTGGTTTAACTTACTGCCGTCTTCAGTTTCACCCATTTTATTGAAAACCACTGCATTTTCCTTTATGGCTATTTCCCATGGTATGTACATACCATATCTTTATCCATTCATCACTTGTTGGCCAGTTCAGCTGAAACTGGCTATTGTGACAAAGACAGACTCCTTAGGCTATGTGCCCCAAAAGTGCTTAGTCATAAAGGTCTATAATTTTTCTTTTGGCTGGACTGGGGTTTGTACTCCAGTCCTTATTCTTAAATAACTTCTCTTGCTTGCTGGCTAGCACTTGCCATTTCCATAATGCCTCCTTTGTGTGTGTATGCACGCACGTACACACACACACATGCACGCACGCACACCAGTCCCAGGACTTGAACGCTGGGCCTGTGTGTGCTCAGGGCTAGTGCTCTACCACTTGAGCAATAGCTCCACTTCTGGCTTTTCATAGTTAATTGGAGCTAAGAGTGTCAGGAACTTTCCTGCTTTGAACCACTGGCACCCAGCATCCAGCTAGTTTTTCTTTTTTATTGTTCATTTTGGAGTTGTGGACTTGTATGCCTGGGCTGGCTATGAACCATGATCCTCCAGATCTTGTCTTCTCAGTAGCTAGAGGGCAATGAGCCACCAGTGCCTAGTTTGTTTTGAGGCGGCTTTATTCCGATTTCCACACTTAATGCCTTTAGTCCATAGTTCAGGTATGTCCAGGGCTCAACATGATCTCTCATGGCTGCCTTTAGATACTAATACACTTGGTCTCCTTTACTGCATTGTTTTCTCTAGCATTTGTCCTTTTCTAATATTGGCTTATGTCTTATTTCTCCTAGTTATAAACAAAAGATACACCTAAGTAAAGTATCTTTTTTCAGTGATGGTTCCCAATTCTTCTCAATATTACCTAGCTTTTGTTTGCTCAGTATTTAATAAGTGAATAGGTAGCTCGACTTATCTGTGACCTTATTTACATTTGTATATACTTTGAGACATGAGTCTTACTGTGCAGATCAAGCAGACCTTGAACTTTTAATTTACCTGCTTCAGTCTCCCATGTACTTGGGACTTCAGGCATGCATAACCACACCTGACTTTGGTTGTAGGTTTTATGCTTTTCAGTACTGTCACTATTTCTTGACACTTAAGTTGAATAAATGTAGAATCCATTTCCAACTCCAACACTGTAATAAGGATTTGACACATGCCCAATAATAGCCCTTGCCCAAATGAGTTACAGGATTTGGGGATGTTTTATACCCAGAACATCTATATTGAGGTTCTGCGCCACACACAATGCCATACACAAATGCCTTGGACTCTGTGGCTCCTTAGAGTATGGTAGGGTAAGCTTAAGAAAAATGCACTTAAGCCTCAGCTCTGGTTTACCTGTTTTTAACAGTCTGTAAGACACCAAAGTGAAGTAGCTACAGAAGTGGGAAAAAATACTTGCCATGTTCTGATGAGGCGATGATATTCAGATTACATATAAAGAACCAAGACTCAACAGCAACAAAACATTAAACATTAAAATACAGGCAAAGGGACTTGACATTATTGCGAAGAAATAACAAATGGCTCAAAACACAAGAAAAGATGCTCAATAGTACTGGGGTGTTTGCTTCCTTGGTCATTAACCAGGTAAGATTGGTGAGTTCTTGCTCTCTCAAGCCTCCAGAGGACTATTTTCTTCAATCAAGTAAGTAATCAGTGTTTGCACAATATAAGGATCTTCCAAGTTGTAGTGTTTTATGTCTGTTGTCACTGTATACTTGCACAACTCTTACCAGGAAAATTAGGTCTCCCCTTGCACTTGACACTTTGTTCCCTCCCATGACGACATAGGGAGCATGAGTTGGAGGCTAGACCTGGAATAATGAGGAAATTTTGTCTCCTCCCATAGCCATGTATGAAAGCACTCCTCTTGCAGGCCTATTCCCAAGACAATGTATTAATAAATATGTAAACTGATATGTCAGGAGTTGAGTTTCCAGAGGATTAGGCAGACACAAAAGCATGATTGTGGCACTAGTTTAGTGACTTGCCACAAGGGTTTAAAGAAGTGATTAATACCGATTGTTAAGAACTACCAGTGTGCTATAGTTCAATTTGTTACCTCTGTTCCTTCTCCATTCATTCCCTTCCAGGAATTAGTCAAGTCCCTTGTTTTCTGTCTTCCTTTCAAAGTATTACTTCCTCAGAGAAGGGCAAATTAATTATAGTTTTAATACATCTTCAAGACAGTAAATTCAATCAATAACCAAACATCATTTCTCCTTGACAGACTTCCTTCCTCAAAATTATGGTCTGCCTCAGTTTCTTAGAAATCAACCCAAAACATTTACTTACCTAGCAGTGGTTCACTTTAGCACAACTGCTTTGAAAACCCAATTAGATGAGATCTTGTGGATCTCATGTCACAAAAAAGCATATACTAATAGCCATCATGATTTTGAATGCATCTTTCTCTGCAGAGTGGCAATGGGCCAGTGCTACTGAATCCAGAATAAGTCACAGCACATTCCACATTTCAACATTAGTAAAGGAATTCAGTAACATTATACACTCTCCCCATACTGTTGTGTTGCCAAAGTGAAGTCACTTCTTTGGAGAGCTATTTTCAGTGATTTTCAGTTGCATTTGCAGTTGGTATGTGTAAAGTAGGTAGGTTTAATTAGGTAGCAGATAGAAGAGAACCTGCAGTATTCAGGCAGGAAGAGAAGTTTACTTTAACAAACTGTTAGCCCCCACTGCATGGTGCAGAGGCATGGCCAAAATGGGTGGGCTGAGGTCAGACCTGGGTTTAAGTAGGGAAAGGACAGGGAGAAGGTGAGGGAAGGTGTGGCCACACCAGATGATGTGACTTCCAGGTTTGCCAGTGACCTAGGTGCCATAGGTACTGGGCGGAGACATAGCCAAGAAGGGAGGAGCCTACCTCGCCATCCTTTGGAGGACCTTATAGTGTGTAAGTATACCTAATCCCATGCAATGTACAAAACAGCTTGGGACAGTAACACACGTCACTAATGTAGAGGAAGTAGAGGCTTATTAAAAAAGTACTTTTTTTCATTTAGTTCTTCTGAATTTTCTTGAAACTCCCATTATTAAAAGTTTGATTAGGGTTTTTAAGATGTACAAGAGAATACAGTATCAAACCACATTTAATAAGCTTGATTTCTTCCATTCTAAAAATAATCACATATTTAAATAGGCAGGCACTAGTCATGAGGAGAAATATACCCAAATTTGTAATGTGTGAGTACTTTCATGAATACTTATTTAAAAAATAAACCTTTCCTCCTATCAACATTACAATACAAAGTCTTCCATTTTACAAAGAAATAAACCCAATGATCAGTACTTACTGGTTGGTTCATAGCCAAAGCTTCTGCTTATGACCTGATTATATAATCACCTAATGTTGGAATTAACTAGGGTTATGCTTCCTAAGTTTCCTGAGACAGTTCTTTTAATTACAATTTACAGGGCACAACTGTTTACAAATTTATAAGATTCAAAGTTCATAAGAAAGATTTAAACAAGAAGTTTGCTATAAATGGGAGGATTTTAAACTGCAAATCTACATGCGATTTAAAGTGAGAAACATGTTAAATTATACTTAACGTACAATCGTATTCGATTTTGATGTTTATTCTATAAGCTGTTGAATGTGAATACTCCTAAACCTTCTCTTTCTGTTTATGCTTCTGACTGAGAATGGAGGAAGGGACCCAAGCTTAAATGTGACTGAAACATTCTCCACATGGTTTTGTATGGACATTTGCAGAACGTCAGGGCTTTTGTTGTTGGTCCTGGGGCTTGAACTCAGGGCCTGGGCACTGTCCCTGAGCTTTTTTGCTCAAAGGTAACTCTCTACCACTTTAGCCGCAGCTTCACTGGGCTTTTTCTTTGAAGTCCAAAGATAAAAAGTCTCTAATATGAAATCAAAATCGGTCTGCTGATCTGCTAGCCACAGCTCGAATATTGCCATAAACCTTTGATGGAGGATTTCCTGTTAAAAGAAAAAAGTAATTTATACATATACACACATACATATTGTCAAAATATTTCAAAAAGAAGTCAGCTCTGGGCACTAGAGGACAATCCAAGTTTGCTGCTGCAGTCGTATAACCCAGATACATGGCTCAGTGAAAAAGGCAGCTGCCCAGCAAGCTTTCCTATTCTTGCTGTTCTGGAGTTTCTGTACACTTCTCAGGGGAAAGCAGCAGTGATTTAAGCAATATAACTAATTTTCTTGGATAAATAGGATCTACACAAAGAATTTCTGAATTTTCCTCTAGGCCCACATTTGCTAACTACCAAGGACTTCCGCTGGGTATCTTTAACATTACCCTACACTGCTTTGCAAATGTAGTTTGAGTTTCCTCAATTCCCCATTCTTTCCAGATAAGATAGGCAAAGACACAGACATACAGACACACAGAGAATAAAACAGATGTAATGAAAATTATTACCCAGGATGAGATTGCAAATGGCAGTTCTTGCCATTTTGATGTTTTGGAAAGATCCAAGGATGTGAACTTTCCTGAAAGTGATGAAGTGAGTCAAGTTAGCCACAAGTACATTTCCTTACTAAATCCTGAAATCTAAAAACTCCAGAAAATTAGATCAGACTCTGAAACAAAGGCAGAGATAATGGCTGCAGAACTCTAAATATTGTAAAATCACTTTTAAAATGAAAGAAATACACATGAAGCTCTCCAATCCAGCACAAAGGTAGGAGGTGGGGGGAGATGCAGATACAGAAATCAAGAAACCCATTTAAGACTACATAACTAGCCACCCTAGAAATGTGAGCAAAATTGTACATAAATTATAGCATGTTTCAACAACTTGATAAAAATTAACCAAATTGCTTCAATATTGGAAGGATCATCCCTGTGATAATTTCTTTCTTTTTTTTTTTTTTTAGGGGGGGGGGGGGGTCCGGTCGTGGGGCCTGAACTCTGGGCTTGGGCACTGTCCCTCAGCTCTTCAGCTCAAGGCTAGCGCTCTACCACTTGAGCCACAGCACCACTTCCAGCTTTTTTCTTTTTGCTTATGTGGTGCTGAGGAATCGAACCCAGGGCCTCAGGCATGCAAGGCAAGCACGTTAACACTGAGTCACCTTCCCAGCCCCCTGTGATCATTTCTATACTGAATGACTCAAGTAAGATTGGTAGCACTTTTAAGTACTGGTGGGAGGGGGAATGAACCAGGACCTCTCTGCCATTTGAACCATATACCCAGCTCTTTTATTTGTATTTTTGAGGTGACATCTCCTAGTTTGTCTAAGCTGGCCTCAAGCCTCCTGCCTTTGCCTCCGAGCAGCTGGGATGACAGAGGTTTATGGCAGGATTTTGCTTTTTAGAGACTATCTTACCAACTATTTCCATTCTACAGTATTTGTTGGGCTTTATCTTCCACCTCTTCAAATGCCATTAAAATCCCAATCACTGTGTTTTCACTAAAACCAACCTTATCGTGATCAGTTTTCTCCACGAACCACACACATCACTAACAGGAGTGAAGCAAGGACCTTCTTGACTCCTCATGCTACTCCTAGACCATTCACAATTCTAAAAGCATTTAGCTTTCGATTGCTCTCATAAGACCACAGTGCCTACTATTCATCTTGCTTGGGTGCTCCGCCATTCCCACAAATCATCCTGAAAGATGTCAGCTCCATGCTCACTGGCGTTGACTACTCCCATCACAATGCCTGATAATTTCAGTATTCCTGGGATAACAATTCCAATACACTAGTCTCTTGGGTCTTTGACATCTTTTATACACACACTGGATCTTGTTTTCCATCCTATTTTCAAGTCTAATTTCACATTCTACTCTTGGTCACTACCAAAAGCTGCAACCCCTCCATAATTTGAATTTCAAACATCCAAGTCTTCCTCCTATACTGTTATTCCACTTCATGCTACCTAATCCATCAATAGCCAAGTCCTTCAACTCCTCCAGGACCTCTAACCTACTGACATACTCAATCTTGATGGCCTCTCATTCCCACATCCTGCCTCCCCTCTCCAGCTCACAATCACCCAACGACCTCCCCTGACGCAGATAAAAAGTCAAAGTTCCTATGTTACTACGTGGCCCATTATTTCTTGTCCACTGATTTATTCCAGCACAGTACATGAAGCCATAGGCCTCCTCATGGTGCCAGACATATTCTCAGCTTGGCATACCTTCACACTCTTCCTTCCCTCCAAATACCTACAGATAGATTGAACATACAAGTACTACTTCAGGCTCTCTGGCATTGTCATCAATTTAAATCTTGCTTAGTGATCTGCTGTTTCCTTGCTCTTATCACCAAAATGATAGTTATGATAAAAACCCAGAAGGAAGAAGGAGATGATGATGATACTAAGTTCCAGGAAGGAAGAAAGCAGATGGATAAGCAGGAACAGACTCTGCAGACCCACAATCTCAAGAAAACTGGATCTAACTCAGCAGGAGGGAAACCTCAGATCTAGAATGATGAGGGATTTTTTTTTTGTTGGTCATGGGGCTTGAACTCTGGGCCTGAGCACTGTCCCTCAGCTCTTCAGCTCAAGGCGAGTGCTCTACCACTTGAGCTACAGCGCCACTTCTGGTTTTCTAGTGGCTTATTGGAGATGAGTTTCACAACTTTCCTGCCCGGGCTGGCTTTGAACTGCAATCCTCAGATCTCAGTCTCCTGAGTAGCTAAGATTACAGGCCTTAGCCTCGGGCACCCGGCTTAGAATAAGGGATTCTAATAGCAAATGGGCAAAGGCAAAATAGGGAAAGCAGGCACAAGGATAAGATAGTAGAGGTGTTTTTTAGAACAAATGCTCCAGGAGAGCTTTATAAAACATCTCATGCATCCAAATATATCAAAAGGAGATACAGAAAATGCACAAGTCTTTATTTCATTAGCACACTGGAAACTAACCACACCAGATTCATTTCCTCAAGAGAATATAAAGATGCAGAAGAAAGAGATCACAGAATTTCACCTGTTTAGCTACTTGTTCCTATTGTGAGGTAGTGCTGGGGAGGAATAAGCTGATGTGATAGAAAGCTGAGTGTTTTTAACACCAGTAAAAGGAGATAAAAAGCTCAACGCAGCTCGGTGCCAGTGGCTCATGCTTGTAATCCTGGCTAATCAAGAGTCTAAGTTCTGAGGATCGCTGAAGCCAGCCCTGGTAGGAAAGTCAGACTCTTATCTGCAATTAACTACAACAACAACAAAAAGCGGGAAAGAGAACTGTGGCTCAAGTTATGGGTGCTAACCTTGAGCAAGAAAGCACCAGCCACTGAGTTCAAGCCCCAGGACTGCCAAAAAAAAAAAAAAAAAATCTAAATCTTTTATCTTTTACACTTAAAAAAAAATCACCACTGAATCTAAAACTTGAAAAGCTGTAGGTTAATAAGATACTTGAAAATATTATTTTATTTTTGAGATAGAGTATGCTATGTTGTCTAGGCTTGTCTTGAACTTTTGATCCTCTGGCCTTAGCCACTCAAGGAGCTGATACCCAGGTACGCACCAACTGTCCCTGGCTCAAGATAAATAATTTCTTAAAATTAAGAGAGAGGAAACTGGCTCTTCAGGGTGAGGGTGAAATAAAGGTAGGCAGCATACATAACTGGCCTTTCAAACTGTGTGTGTCTCACTTTGCTAAAAATAAACTAAAATGCAGCATGATGGATGAGGAAATAGTCACAACAAATGTGAAACAGCTTTGCTACTAAAAGACAAAGTGATGGAGCAATACCTGGGAAGAAATTCAGTAAACTCGCCTTGTCAGGTAATTAAATGAATTTGACCAACTTCAATTTAAAAAAATCCAAAAGGAACTTCAAAAACAACAAAAAATTAATTTCTGTGCATACAGTATATAGCTCAGCTGAGGAAGAACTCTCAGACTGTCTGGCATTAGCATCACTTTAAATCTTGCTTAATAAAGTGATCTGCTATTTCCCTGCCCTTAATTGGGTGGAAATATTCCTCCCCAAAAAGCAAAGGAAAAGTTAATGTGCTTACTTGAAGTGATTAAATTGAAAACTTTGGATTTGTTCAAAGATGACATGTTGTTAGTGGAAGTTGAATAGTGTTATGGATCTAGCATCAGCAGTAGTAAAGAGAAGGAAAAAATATCTAGTTTTTGGTGAGCAGTATTACTGTGTACAACAGTAATTTTTTGTAAGAGGAATGTACTGATTCTATGTGGTTTCAAGTTATAGATGCTCATATGTACTGCACATATTGTACAGGTAAATTTGAATAATTTACATATTGAACTCTATATCCTGAGCATTCATTTCTTCCTTGATGGCAGCCTCCTTGGAATCCTGTATCTGTGAATACCAGAGGTCTATTGTATACAAAAAACCTCAAGGCACATTATTTACCCTTTTGTATTCTGAATATATTGAGAAAATTATTTTACTTTTCTATTTTGCTCACATTGTACTATATTTTGCAAGATTATAAGTAACTGATTATCACACTATCTATGAGTACATAGTAGCCCACCTTATGGCCACTTCATAATTAATATAAATTGTTCAACATGTGGATTCCCAATTAGATTATATATAACAAAAACTAGATAGTACACTTCTTTAATTTCATCAAATTTCTTGTAATTGTTTGTAAACTACAAATGATACAAAAAAATAACTTCTCAGCAACATGATTCATAATGGCTCCCAAATGAAACAACCCACATATCCAATAACTGTAATTAAAGATAGAAAGTTCAATATGCGGGGCTAGGAATATGGCTCAGTGGTATAGTGCTTGCCTAGCATGTATCAAGCCCCAGATTCGATTCCTTAGTACCACATAAATAGAAAAAGCCAGAAGTGGTATTGTTGCTCAAGTGGTAGAGTGCTAGCCTTGAGCTAAAAGAAGCTCAAGTATGCCGGGCGCTGGTGGCTCACGCCTGTAATCCTAGCTACTCAGGAGGCTGAGATCTGAGGATCGCGGTTCAAAGCCAGCCCGGGCAGGAAAGACCATGAGACTCCTATCTCCAATAAACCACCAGAAAACCGGAAGTGGCGCTGTAGCTCAAGTGGTAGAGCGCTCGCCTTGAGCTGAAGAGCTGAGGGACAGCGCTCAGGCTCAGAGTTCAAGCCCCACGACCGACAAAAAAAAAAAAAAAAAAAAGAAAAGAAGCTCAAGTCCCAGGACTAGCCAAAAAAAAAAAGAAAAAGAAAAAAAGTTCAATATATAATAGAATACTACTTGGCAATAAAAAATAATCACTGGAGCTGGGTGCTGGTGGCTCATGTCTATAATCCCAGCTACTCAGGAAACTAAGATCTGAGGATTGCAGTTTGAAGGTAGCCTGGGCAGCAAATTCCCTAAACCACCACCAAAATCCGGAAGTAGAGCTGTGGTTCAAGATATAGAGCACTAGCCTTAACAAAAAAGCTCAGGAACAGTGCTCAGGCCCTGAGTAAGCCCCAGACTTGCGCTGAAAAAAAGAATGACCAGCACACCAATAAAATAGAGAAATTCAAAGCAATATGCTAACCAAAGAAGTCAGACAGCAAAACCTACATACTGCGTATTTCCATCTATCTGAATTTCTAGAAAAGGAAGATCACAGTGATGGTGAGCAGTGGTTGCCTAGGGAGGTGCACATGGGAAAATGGAGCTGTGGCTCAAAGTGGTAAGTTACTAGTCTTGAGGGGAAAAAAAAAGACTCAGGGACCATGACCAGGTCCTGAGTTCAAGCCCCCAAAATCAACATTAAACAATAAATAAATAAAGAAGATGCACGTGGGCCAGACAGGGTAATGCAGTTGTAATTCCAACCACGGAGAAAGTAGAAGTAGAAGGATATGGATTCTAGGCCAGCCCAGGACAAGCTAGGGTCAGACTTTATTTGAAAAATTAAAAGCAAAAGGATTGCAGGCTTAAATGGCAGAGCACTTGTGAGGCTGAGTTCAATCCCCAGGACCACCAAAAAAATAAAATAAAAAGGACATGGGGAACTTTTAGGGAGTATGGAGTGGTATTTCGGGTTAGCCAACTCATTCAACTGAATACTTAGGCAAATTTTACTGTATATGAATTATTCTAAAACAAAATGTTTTAAAAACTGGTTTAATTAGCAAACTTTAAGACAGATTTATAAATTTATAAATATAGGTAGTACATCATGTCTACCCATAACTTCATTAGCAAATCATGTTACTCCAAATTTCCAACTTAAATATGGTAATATAGCTTCAGATAGAGAGCCTTCAATATAGTATTATAGTTATCCTTCAAGTATAAAAATATTAGATGTAGTTGGGTGCTGGCAGCTCACACTTGTAATCCTAGCTACTCAGGAGGCTGAGATTGAGTATCGTGGTTCAAAGCCAGACTGGGCAGGAAAGTTCATGAGACTCTTACTTTAATAAACTACTCAGAAAAAGCCAAAAGGGGCACTGTTGCTAAGTGGCAGAGAGCCAATATTGAGAAAAAGAAGCTCAGGAACATGGCTCAGGCCCTGAGTTCAAGCCCTAGGACTGGTACAAAAAGAAAAAAAGAATTTAGATCTAAATACTGTGCCCCTCAGTTTTGAGCAAAAGAAAGATAAATAATAATATACAAATTTACATGTATACATGTAAATGGATCAATTCTAATAAAGTCATTTCTGGATTCAGTTACAAGCAGATCCCTTGGTCTCTGAGTCACCTGTTTCATTTTTCAACGTCATAGCATTATATGAGTTCTAGGCCCCAACCTGGCAGAGTTGTTGCAAGCATGGTCAGGAGCAGTTTCAAAGAGGGACAATCTCAAATTCATTTCTAGCACCCTTACCCTCCTCTCAAGCCTATATATTACTAATCTTCACATACAACATAAACATTTTTTTATTGCTAAGTTAAACAAAACTACAATTAGTGAAATTTTCTTGATAATGTAATCCTCTTTCAAGGCTGGTCTTTATTTTGGCTGCATACTTCCAATAAGTTAGCAGGAGTATTATATATAAACAATTGTTAGGTTTTTTTAAAACTAACTAGAGATCAACTATACTTACACATCAGCCAAAACTATCCGTGTCCGTGTCACGTTCTCTATGGTGAATTTGGTTTTTCCTCCTTTGCCAGCGATTCTTCCTATTGCCCTTGACAGATGGTCTCCTTTGAGGGGCTTAACTAAAGAAGAAAAGCAAGACCTCAGGTAGCAAGCTATTCCATTCCACCCAATGGAAGCTACTTCAATGCCACCCATTCCACAGAAGGTTTAATCACTACCTAAACTTCCCATACAAACAACACATTTTTAAAAAAGTGTACACAGCAATATGTATTAGGAAACTGAAATCACAAAACAATACAAAGTCAGCAACCCAAAAAGAAGTTGTTCACAGAAGACTACTGCATGCTCACCATCTGTAATTTCAAAAGTCTCTAGAAAGAGATCATCCAGCCTGATGAGGGCAAGTGCATCCTAAAATACAAAAGCTCTGTGAAGATACTTGCACTTAAAGACACCTGAGAACGTGTGCACAGAAAGCATTGTACAACAAAAAATACACGAAACTGGTAATATAAGATTCAGCGCTTTGAAATGGTCAACTCACTGAAATGTCCACATATAATATTTTTTTTAAGTCCTCACGTTCAGTATTACAGAATTACTTACCTCCACTTGAAACCCAAGAATAAAGGCCTTCACAAAATCAGCTGCTTTTGTCAGAGCACTAACATCCTTGGTTTCCTTACAAGTCTGTTAAAAAAAAAAAGTAATCAAGTAATCAAATTTTAATAAGTGATTTTAATTAATGGCAGAATCAATAGATGCTGAGAACCCAAACTGAGATGAATCCCAGTGGTAATCCTAGTTACTCAGAAGGCTGATATTGGAAGTACCACCAAAAAGCCACTTGAAAGCAAAGAGAGGTTTTAATGTCATATCCTGTGTTTTTTAAACTTTGCCAACTACTTAAGTGTAGTGTTTATGTGTTCCAGTAGGATGTAGGCCCACAGGAATCCTGATGATGACCTAAGAATCCTCACAAAGGCGAACAATAAATTGAAGTAAAAAATTTTGGCACAAGCCAGGCGCTGGTGGCTCACACGCCTGTAATCCTAGCTACTCAGGAGGCTGAGATCTGAGGATCGCGGTTCAAAGCCAGCCCAGGCAGGAGATACCGTGAGACTCTTATCTCCAATAAACCACCAGAAAACCGGAAGTGGCGCTGTAGCTCAAGTGGTAGAGTGCTCGCCTTGAGCTGAAGAGCTGAGGGACAGCGCCCAGGCCCAGAGTTCAAGCCCCACGACCGAAAAAAAAAAAAAAAATTTGGCACAAAATTGACACCCAGAAAAGGAAGTTCAAGATCAATTTTAAATACCTAACTACTTGACTGACACCACAGAATGAAAAACAAAGAAAGTGTATATATACAAAATAATTTCTATTTTTTCTCAAGTAACACATATTTTCTCCTCATAAGAATACCGTGAGGGGCTGGTGACTCAGTGGTAGAGTGCTTGCCTTGGATGCATAAGGCCCTGGGTTTGCTTCCTCAGCAGCAGATAAGCAGAAAAGGCTGGAAATGGTGCTGTGGCTCAAGTGGTAGAGTGCCAGCTTTGAGCTGAAGAGCTGAGGGACAGTGCCCAGGCCCAGACAGGCCCCATGACTGACAAAAAAGAATACTGTAAAAATACGTAGTACCTGTACTGCAGCCAAGTACTTACATTTATAATTTACCTACTTCTGTGTATACCAGTCTAACTACTTTTCTTCAAGTCAGCACAGAACATTATCGAAATGCACAAACATCGCTAGCATCTTGATATAATTTCAGGATCCATTTAGGAATTAATTTAAAATTTGTGCTGAATGCATACTGTGAAGGTATTTGGTAAGTTCCAACTCATGCTATATTAAAAAAAAAATCAAAGAAAACCATTTAACAGAATAAGTTCTATTAAGGAAAACCCGATCATGCCTTTCTACCCCTGTAGGAGAGAAAATAGTATATTCAGAAATGGCTGACATTCTTACTCTGATTTCTACGTTTCTTGATTTCAAGTTAAAGCGTATCTGAAGTCCCAAATGTTCTACAATAGGAGTAAATATCTTCATCCAGTTTTCTTTTAGGGGTGTGTATCTATTAGCTGGGACTGAAATCTTCCGTGTTTCTTCTTTCCCGCTCTGCAATAAACAAACAACACCTCCAGAGATGTCTGGAGTGGTAAAATGACAGCCCCCCACAGAAAACACTTCCCCTTCCCAGAGCCACTTTCCCTGAGAACTCAAGCCGGAGACCCCCCAACGCCCGCCCGGCTCCATCATGCCGGGAGACCACCATCCCGGCCCGGCCCGGCCCTGCTTCATTTACTCCGGGCCCCGGGTCCCCGCCGCCAGTACCAGGAATCCGTCCCCGGCCAGGGGAGGGAAGACAGGCCTCTTGGCTGGCCGGCTCTCTTCTGTGTCCATGCGCCCGGCGCCTCCGTCCTCGCCCGCGGAGGACAGCTGCTCAGCCCGTCGCTTCTTCGCCCGCCGGCCACCCTTGCGGGTGACCTGGGTAAAGCCGTCCTGGGCACCGGCGTTCTGAGTCTCCATCTCCGCCATCTCCACGGCCGGCCAACACCAGAGTAAGAACACGTGCGCGTCCGCTCTGCGCAAGCGCACCGCGCAGGAACCTGCCTCCACCAATCAGCCTCAGGGCTCCGCCCCCTTCCGACAGTTCTTCCAAAATAGTGCCTGCCCTGGCCTGTCCAACAATATGCCTTATTCTTGGCGTCGCCCAAAAGGCCTGATTCTCACAGCCATCGCCTTGGCGACCTCTAATGTGCAGACGCGAGAAAGTCATCGTATGGAATCACTAAACATATTTGCTTCTTTAGCGGAAAAACATCTGGTCCGAACGCAGGATGCATCCGGCATTGTTAGAAAGAACTAAGATGTGCGGGGCGGGTTCGGGGGCGGGGCCAGGGGCGGGGAGGAGCAGAAGGGCCCGGAGTGCAGTACGGCAAGCGGGACGGACAAACCGCCGTTCTTGTTTGGCGTCCGGTTCCTAGGTTCTTGTGTCGTGGAAGTGTGACTGTGGCGGTTTACTGGACGTGAACTCGGCTATGTCGGCCTTCGAGAAGCCTCAGGTCATCGCCCACATCCAGAAGGGCCTCAACTACACGGTGTTTGACTGTAAGTGGGTGCCCTGCAGCGCCAAGTTTGTGACCATGGGCAACTTCGCCCGGGGCACCGGCGTCATCCAGCTGTACGAGATCCAGCACGGGGACCTGAAGCTGCTCCGAGAGGTGGGTGCCGGGCCGGGGCCGGGCCCGGGAGTGCGTGCACACCCGGGGGTCCGCGTCCCTCTGCCGCAGCCTTCGCCCTTCGCCCAGCGTCCCCCCAAAGGTGTAGCTCGAAATGCCCGGGACCGGAGAAGCGGAGTGCACGCTGAGAGATGGCGCTTTCTGACTTCTCCCTGGCGGGCTTGGCACCTCCACGCCCTGCCTCCCCCAGCAGCGCGATTTCGTGTCTCAGTTCCAGGACCTTTGAGGCCGTTTGCGATGGTTTGTGGAGAGGCTGTTGGTAGGCGTATACTATCGATGCTACAGATGCAGAGGAGGCCGAGGACTCCTAACGGTGGAACACTGGAGCAAACCAGCGTGGAGAGGGATAGGGGTTAAAATGGTGGGTAAAGGATGGATGCAGTTTGGATGAAAAGGTACGGGAGGCGTCATCCTCGAGTGCCCGTTTTCCTGATGAGCCGTTTTCTCTACCATCCAAGCACTCATAGAGTTTCAGAACAGGGGTGTGTGTGGCATTGTTGTATTACATAGTTCCTAAAGTTAGGTAGGCTGTCCCAGTCACCAGTTCGGGGTATCTGATCTTGATCCCCACACAAAGTAATTTTCCTTTATGGTGCATTTCTTAAGTACTTCTTCTCTGTGCTGGAAATACACGTTCTGCCCCAGTTATCTCTTAATTCGGTTGAAAACTCTGGGAGAGTAAAGGCAGTATCTTTCTTCAGTAATGGTTTGTAAGGAGCAACCACTCAATAAATATTTACTGAAAGAATGAGTCAGTGTGTGTCTATAAACATGAAATAACCTGCGAAATGTAAATATTGACTTAACAATCATTAGTTAACTTGGGATGAGGGAATACATTGGAAACATGTGGACAGGAGAAAGAATTGTTAAGATCCAGGGCTGGGAAGGTGGCTCAATGGTAGAGCGCTTGCCTTGCATGCATGAGGCCCTGGGTTCGATTCCTCAGCACCACATAAGTAGAAAAAGCTGGAAGTGGCGCTGTGGCTCAAGTGGTAGAGTGCTAGCCTTGAGCTGAAGAGCTGAGGGACAGTGCACAGGCCCAGGGTTCAGGCCCCATGACCAACAACAAAAAATAATAATAATTGTAAGATCTAAGTATTAGGAACAAATCCTAATCAAGGCTTAACCATAGAGCATCTTGTAGACTTAAGAACTTTAAGAAAAGAATTATGATTTGTATATACTTCATGAATACTTCAGATGGACTTTCTAGAGGATTCTGGCAAATTAATAATTGTTTTTCAAAAGTATTGTTCATAAGAGAACAACTTAGAAAGTGTAAATTGAGGTGTCAGAGGGTATCAGCCTTAATTTCAAACTCAGGAATAACCACTTTTACATTTTTGCCTAGTTCCTTTTTGTTGTCTTTTTTGTTTTATCATGAATTTCTGAGAACTTGCACTTTCAAAGTATTGTGCTTCAAAAGGACCAGAAGTAAATGAAAGATGTATCTCTCTGAAAAGCCTGCTGTCTAAAAATACAGTAAAACAAATAAAAAAAACACATTTAAAAACTGAGTGTATTTGGCTGGAATGAAAATGAATGAAAAAGAATATAGATTAAATATTTGGTGGTTCTCATCTCTTAGTGTGCTTTATAATCATTTGATTGTGTTTTGTTGATGTCATTAGTGTGTGTGCGTGTTTTAAAATTTCCTGCTGAGGCTGAGATACGAGAATCGAGAATCGCAGTTTGAAGCCAGCCTAGGCAGTAGAGTCTTAAATTTGTGAGACTCTTAACTCCCAGTAAACCACCAAAGAGCTGGAAGTGGAGCTATGCCTCAAGTGATAAAGTGCTAACTTGGAGTAAAAAAGCTCAGGGACAGCACTCAGGCCCCAAGTTCAAGCCCTGTACTGGCACTCTCCTCCCCGTTTCTCCTCTCTCCTCCTCTCCTCCCCCTCCCCCATATATATATAAATATGTGTGTGTGTGTGTGTATGTGTATTCCTGCCTTAGTCTTTAGTCCTAGAAATTCAGATTCAGTGATACTCTTGTATCTAACTAGTAAGACCTAGATGCATAGACATCAGTATTGTCTTTGAACTCCTGCCATATAATTCTAGTGCATGCTGAGTTGAGAACGATTGGACCAAATAAAATATTAGGGAACATACTTGTGTATATGTGTGCATGTGTGTGTGCACATGCGCGCCAATACTGGGGCTTGAACTCAGGGCCTCTAACTTTTTAAGTTTTGTCCTTGTTGTTTTTGTTTTTTCACTCAAGGCTGGTGTTCTCCTTGAGACTCCATGTCCTCCTTTTCTACATCCAGCTTTTTGCTGGTTAATGGAGATAAGAATCTTGGAGATTTTTTTGTCCTGGCTGGATTACAGATATGCGCTACTGGCTCCTAGCCAAATATTTGATGTATCATGCTAGAACCACCCCCTAAACATGCTCCAAAGCCCATGCATCTTTTTTTCAAAAATAATTTTTATTGTAATTAAGTGACATAAATTTCACAAATTTCACAGTATTGTGAGATAGTGATAGTTCAAGTCACAAATACATTCTAACCTTCATTAGGCAAAGGTCATTATTGTAGTATATAAAGTTTGTGAATTCTATGAGCTTTGACAGTACAACTATTTCTTCCACATCGGTGATATATACATTTCTTTCCTTTTGCTTAGTGGTAGCTGTTCCCTCTATTCCTCTCATTCCCTCCCTCCCATCGCTGCCCTTGAATTGCTTAGTCCATTTTCATAGTTCGAGCATCTTAAGATAACATGTGAAAGAAGCAAATCAGTGTTGATAGTGACTTTATCTCCTTGCTAACAGGATAGATAGAAAATTCAGGGTAGGGTCTCCTGGTATAGTTGAACAGTTGGTTACACCACACAAAGTTCTCTAGCCAAGTGTCTCTTTCCCTTCAAGCCTTGCATCAACTTATAAACCACAAATTTTCCTTAATTGGCACCAGGTACCAAATGAACAGGAATTGCCCTGAAAAATTCAATTATGGTTGTGGATGTTTATACTATAAAAATTAGTAAAAACCTATTTTTTTTAAGTCCCTGCATTCGCTGCCTGTTAGCATTGGGTTGACTAAACCTTTTAATGTTAATTAAGTAGTGCCAGGATGTGGAGGAGGAAATACTGACAAGCTGTACTAGACCCACCCACAGACAGAACAAAAATAGCTCAGCAGAAATGATTGATTATGGGCTTGTTTAATCTTTTGAATGTACTGTTGTAGCAAAGAATGCCAAAGGCTAGATCAAGTAAACTATCATCAATGATCATTTTTGTATCAGATCAACAAAAATTATCCTTTAGATGCTTTTTTTGTGTGAACTATAAATTTTTTAACCAACTAATCAGTTTTCTAGCAAGAAAGAGTTTAAGTTACCACTGAATTCTATGCATAGTTTCTTTTCTATACAAAATGTTTAACAGGGTTAGAGAAGGAGCCGTTTTGTGCCCTATAAAAAAGTAATGTAAGTAGTGTCCTCTCTTAATTCAAGTTACTTTTATAATTTCCACAAATGTGTGAAGAAAGAGAAAACATGCCTGCTTTTAGAAGTTTATTTGCCAACAGAACTCAGCCCTTATGAACAAAATGTGTTCTCACTTCCTGCAAATGATGAGGTGATAAGTTTACATTCATTCATTCTTTCATTTTTTTTTTTTTAATGTCAGTTCTGGGACTTAAACTCAGGGCCTGGGTGCTATCTCTGAGCTTTTCTGCTCAAGGCTAGTTCTTTACCACTTGAGCCATAGCTCAGTTTCTGGCTTTTTGGTGGTTAATTGGAGATAAGAGTCTCCATGGATTTTTCTTCCCTGAGCTGGTTTCACATTGGATCAATCCTTTGTTCTCAGCCTTCTGAGTAGATAGGATTGCAGGTGTGAGCCACCAGTGTCTGCCTTATTTATTTTTTATTTCCCTTTATCTAGTTCAGTGACAGTATGTACAGAGTCACTGTCCCTTATCTGAGCTGCTTGGGTCCAGGAATTTAGATTTCAGATTTTGGAATATTGGCATATATATTATGAGACATATTGGAAATGTCTGAAGTCTAAACACAAAGTTTCAATATATACCTAGACCTGAAGACAATTGCATGCAATATTTTAGTGAGTTTGCCTTTTGACTGTTGAATCACATGATGTGAATTCAGGCATTGAATTTCCTACCTGTGCCACCCTATCTGCATTCAAAGCATTTCAGATATTGGAGCCTTTAGTAGTTTAGATGTTCAGAATAATGGTGTTTCCCTAACATTTCACTAAACATTGAATGCTGCGTGGGAAAATCTGTGGAGCAGTAGACTTCAGTATCCTGTGACAGGAGGGTATTTGATTATATCATTTTCTCGGCCCCTTA